TGCCCTTACCTGAGCACTTATTGGCTGTAATTCTGCAGGTAATTACTTAATCTCTATGTGTCTCAGTTTCCTCATTTATAAAATGGGGATAATGATAGTATCTACCTAACAGACCTACCTAAGATATTATGAATAACTTAATATATATGCAAAGCATTTAGCTACAAGACTTGAACATAGTAGAATTATATAAGCATTCCATAAATGTTAGCTGTCATCATCTTCATCATCATCGTTGTTATCAATGGCCAAGTAAGGTTCTATCTAAATGTTCTACTCATTCATCAAGACCCCACTCTAAGGCCACTTCTTTTGTGAGGCCACCCTCAACCCCCATCAGAATCTGTCGCCCACAGGTGTCCCATTTTCTCCACATCCTCACCAATATATATATATAGTCATATATATATAGTCATTCTAACAGGTGTGAGGTGCTATCTCTTTGTGGCTGCAATTTGCATTTCCCTGATGATTAGTGATGTTGAGCAGCTTCCCCCTATACCTGTTGGCCATCTGAATGTCTTATCTGTTCTATCTTTTGTGGTATTTCTATGTGCCTCTCTCTTACTGGCCTGAGAAATACAGGATGCCATATAGACAGTGGGTGCTCTATACATCCTTGGCAAATGGGCCTGGAGGAGTTATCTCCTTGGGCTTTCTTCAGACACGGGAGGGTTAAGTGACACATCTCCAGAAGATGCGAGAAGGTGGGCTTTTGGCTCTGGGAAAGGCTGCTTCTGCCTCTGCTTCTGAGCATTCATCATCACTCCTGCCTCCTGCCTAATGAGCACCCAAAGTGATTTTCTATTGCTTGTAATTCACAAAAATTGTTCTAACATTTTGAAGGGCCCGGAAATTGACAGCCTAATACCCCTGCTTGCCTGTCTGGCTCAGTGACTTGTTGAAGGCTGAGCTGATTGCTTCTCCTCTAACGATTATCCTGGAACTTCAGACAACATCGGAGGGAAATAAACAGTTGGAAAGGTTAGAGACAGGAACTGGAGAGGAGAAGGCAGGGAGGGCATCTGGGAAACTTTGGGGGAGCAGTTGTATTTGAGATGAGTGGGAGGCTGGCCTGAGCACTCGCGAGAAGGAAGAACAGATAGGAGAACCTCTCCCCATACTAACTTCTCATGGTTCTCAGAAAATCTCCATGACCATTGGGATCTGAAGCAACATGAGAGACTGCAAATTTACCCCTTTCTAGAATTCACTTCTAGAATTTCTTCTAGAAATTCTAGGCCCTTCTTTCTAAGGTCTTCTGGAATTTCCTGGCCCCGCCTTCTTCTTTTATAGATGAAGAAACTGAGACTTAGATGGGGGAAGGGTTTGACTTTGCAGAGTGGTGGCAAAGGAAGGCTTGAAGTCACATTTCCTGTTACCTCTAAAATGGACTTAACATGACAGGGCAGATGTTCCTTCCAGATCCCAATTTCAATTCACTTGGTAAATACCCAGAAGTCGGATTGCTGGATCATATGGTAGTTCTATATGTAAGTTTTTGAGAAATCTCCATACTGTTTTCCATAGGCGAGGATGCCATTTTACATTCCCACCAACAATGTTCAAGATTCCCTTTCTCTCCACATCCTCACCAGCACTTGGTGCCTTTTGTCTTTTTGATCATAGCCATTCTGACAGGTGTGAGGTGCTGTCTCATTGTGGTTTTGATTCGCATTTTCCTGATGATTAGTGGTATTGAGTATCTTCTCATATACCTGTTGGTCATTTGTATATCTTCTTGGAAGAAATGTCTATTCAGATCTTTAGCCCATTTTTTAATGTTCATTAGGCGTTTGTATTTGTTTTTTGCTATTAAGTTGTAGGAGTTCCTTATATATTTTGGATATTAACCCCTTATCAGATTTGTGGTTTGCAAATATTTTCTATCATTCCATCGATTGTTGCCTCTTCACTCTGTTCTTTGCTTTGCTGTGCAGAAGCTTTTTAGTTTGATGGAGTCCATTTGCCTACTTTTGCTTTTGTTGTCTGTGATTTTGGTGTCCTGTCCACAAAATCATTGCCAAGATCAATGTCATGAAACTTCTCCCTTAGGTTTTCTTCTAAAACTTTTACAGTTTCAGGTTTTTGGTTTAAGTCTCTAATCCATTTTGAGTTGGGTTTTGGGTGTAAGTCTTTCTTTTGTGTGTGGATAGCTAGTCTTTCCAACACTATTTGTAGAAGAGATTACCTTTCTCCAATGCATATTCTTGGCAGCAGCTCTATTCACAACAGCCAAGATGTGGAAACAGTCTAAATGTCCACTGATGGAGGAATGGATAAAGACAGTGTGGCATGTTCATACAATGGAATATTATTCAGCCTTAAAAAAACAAAATCCTTCCATATCTGACAACATGAATGACCATTGAGGACACCATGCTAAGTGAAATAAGCCAGGCACAGAAGGACAAACACTGCATGATTCCACTTGTATGAGATTTCTAAAACAAATTCATAGAAGCAGAGACTAGAATGATGGTTGCCAGAGGCTGGGGGTGAAGGAGCAACAGGGAGTTGCTACTCTCAGGGCTGCAAGATAAGTTCTAGAGATCTACTGTACAACATTCTGCCTATAGATAGTAGCTATATATATTTTTATATATAATATATATTATATATTTATATATATAAATGTATATTTAATAAAGAACCTACAGCTAAAAGAGAGCTTGTCTGAAACACAACTCTTAATTGACACCATGCTGGACATTTTGCATAGACATTCTTATGCAATCCTGACCAGTGGGAAGTGGGCATTATTGTCTCTATTATAAAGATGTAAAAACTGGGGCTCAGAGAGGTTGAATCTCTTTTCTAAAGTCATCCAGCTACTAAGCAGAAGAAACAGGGTTTGAACCAGGCAGGTCTGGCTTCAGAGACTACATATTTCTACCATTCAGTCACTTCCCTTTATCAGCCCCTCCACCACTAGAAGCCTTTGTATATATTAAGCTGTAAGTCATTCATTTTGTCCCTTTAACATTTTCAATGATGTAACTGCCAATCAGAGCATCTAATCAGTGGGAAAGTTCAATGTTTCTAAAATGAGCTCATGTAATTATGACTTTAAAAAAATGGGTCATATTGGATTGTCAGTTCCTGAAGGGCAGACACAATCCCATAACCGTACTAATTTCTGCACCCAGTGTCTAGCGAAGGGCTTGTACTTACTGGGTATACTAATTAGCTTTTGCTACAATAATGCTGCATAACAAATATCCCTCAATCTCAATAGCTCACAGCAACAGGCCTTTGTTCTTATGCTTCCAGGCCTGTGGGTTCATTGTGGATCAGCTGATTTGGGCTGGGTATCTCTGTTTCAGGCTGTGGGTCAGGTGAACTTGGCTCTAGATCACGGGTTTATTCTGGGGACCAGGCTGAAGGACGGAAACTACCTGGGAAGCTGCCTTGTGACAGGTCAAAAGAGCACAAGGGTCTGACCAAGGTACATCAGACATGTAAGGCCTCTACAGCATCACATCTGCTAGCTTCCCTTGGCCAAAGGAAATCACATGGACTAGCCAACATCCGCTAGCTGGGGGAAGTATGTACCCACCCTCCATGGGAGGGGAGGGGAGTGACTGTTTACTGACGGTGGATAAATGCCATCCCCGTTCCTGAGCCAAGCATCCCAAGACTAATTCCTCTGATTCTTGAAAATCTGGGACTTGCATGTCAGGAGCCACTGCAAGTCACTCTCAAAAGGACCCTCTTGGGACCATGCTTTGTGAGTGTCCTGCGTGTGTCATGGGATCACCCAAACTTGTAATGACAGCAGCACAGGGCGAGAGAACAACGTGGGCTCTGGAGTCAGGTGGGCCGAATACTCTGCATAAAAGAGAATCAAACTCCACCAAGACGTGCAAGGCCCCCACACCCTGGCTTCGCTCCCCTGTCTGACCTCACCTCTCCTTTCCCCCTCCCCCAGACCCGCCGCTGGACTTTCTCTGGTTCCTGGGACGCAGAAAGCTCCTTCTTGCCTCAGCTTCTTGCTGCTGTTCTCCTTGTCCAGAAGGTTCTCACCTGAGATAGTCACATGGATTGTTCCTTCTTAATCTGGATTCCAGCTCAAATATCACCTGCTCACAGAGGTCTTTCCTCATTCTGTGTCCTCCTTCTTATTATCTGGGCTTATTTATTTTTTTTCCTGGGCCTTGTCATTATCTAACACAACCTTATTTGTTTGTTGTCTTCTTCACTACTTGTCTCTCCCTTCCAGAAAAATAGGCTTTTCGAGAGGAAGGCCTGAATCTGTCCTATTCAGAGCTATTTTTAGATGCTGCAACTGTACCTGGGTGCAGAATAAATATTTGTTGCATGAATGAATGGGCACTTAGTTTCCTTTCCACAAAATGGGACCACTATTGTGGGTGTCGGTTGTTGGTAGGTTTGGGGATAACGTATGCACAGGGTTCAGCGTGGTGCCAGCTTCATAGCAGGTGCAGAAAGTGGTGGCTTCTGCAATCAATATTGCGGGCCCAGCCCAGGGCTTTCTCAGCTGCCTGCTGCAGCCTCGGTACTCTTCCCTCCTCACAGCTTTCCTGGCGGGTCTTGGCAGGCTCCATATCTCCATCCTCAAGGAGCGGGAGAGGCCAACAACATGGCTGCAGCAATGAAGGGAAATGGGATTGGAAAGGATACTTAATTCTAAAGGATTGTCCCCAAACCCAGAAACGACACGTTAAATCAGAGTCCTTCCCATAACTCATAGTCTATCTCCATGGAAATGGGCACCATATGGAGTTAATTAGTAGAACAACAAAACAATCAATTAGTTCCTTAATTAGTTTTACTAAGAAATGATAACAAACAAACACAAACACTTTATTCCAACTAATGCTCGAGCCACAGTGATAGTTTAATGGCCTTGGAAAGCCAGCTCAGGCGCTGGGCCGCCGCGAGCGGAGATTTATTCCCACGGTATTGACAGGTTCCCTGGTCTCTGTCCAGGCTGTGCGTTTCATCTTTATGATCAATTATTTACAATATCTGAACACAGCTGAGGGGTCGTCTGGGAGCTTTTCTTTCTAGATAGAGAAAAAAATGCAATAACTCACATCCTATGAAGCTACTGGGCTCTGGAATGATCATTCCCTGAATCATTTATTTGACAAACATTTACTGAGCATTTTCTATGTGCCAGGCACGGCGCTAGGGGAAGGAGGAGAGAGGGGGGCGAGAAGTAACTGACAGTGGGGCTCACGTTTGGAGCAGGGCGGCAGATGAGAAAAGCCGGGAGACTCAGTTTCCACCTGTGTCTGGTCTGAGGGTCTGGGTGGGGCTGGGGGTCTGTGGGGGTATAGGGGAGGGGGCTGGGGAGGCATCGGAGGAGGCGGTGGCTGAGCCTGCAGGGGTGAGTCCAGTGGGGAGGCCTGATCAAGAGCAAGGGCTGGGGCTGGGATTGGGGAGACCCAGGCTCTCCTCCAGTCCTGGGGTTGCATTAGATCCCATCTGTCCCCTCCTCTGTGCAATGGGAGAATGACACCATGTTCCTCCTTTCACAGGGTCATTATAAGGATCAAATCCATGTGGAAGTACCTCGTAAAGCACAAAGGGTTTCACAGAACCTCATGTGAGATCTGAGCAGAGGACTGGAGGCAAGACCGGGGGTCCCAGAGATGCCTCCCCTTCCGGAGGGATCCGCAGAGAAAGGGACACTCCAGGAACACTGGGGGCATATTTGTACCTATATTTTTATCTCCATCTCTATCTCTATCTCTATCTCCATCTTTATCTCTATCTCTATTTCTATCTTTATCTCTATCTCTGTATCTCTGTGTGTGTACATACACATATATGTATGCATATGTAAGCATATATGAATATATCTCTATCAGAAAATTCATTTTTAAAAGATAATACATGTTAATGACAAAAAAATTGAAGCCATGAGAAGCAAACATCTTACCTTAAGCCCCAGTTGCAAACTCTCCAGAAGCAACCACTATTACCTGTATCTTCTGCATCCTTCCGAGGTGTTCTGTTCAAGCAACAAGTTCTTATAAACTTTCTTTTCTTTAAAACATACCATTGTGCACTTTTACTTTTTCATGTATTCCATCCTGGCCAACGGTCCATGTCCATACCTTCGGATCTACCACATTTTTTTTTTTAAACGCTGGATGCTATTTTGTCATGTGGATGTATCTTAATTTATTTAACCAATGCCCTTTTATTGAACATTTCAATTATTTACTATATATTGCTACCATAAACAATGAGTTTCTTCTGTTGGATACCTACACAACCGTGTAATATATATAGAATTTTCTGTTTCTTATACTCAAGTTTGTTACAACTCACTTGATCTTTATTGATGGTTTGAGGAGTAATTGACATTCCTCTTTACTTTTATGTTATTTTTTCTTTATTTATTGCCCGTAAGGACTTAAACTGATCTGAAATAATTGATTTAAAATATACACACATCAAATCTAGGGTCAGCATTGCAGGTATCTTCATTCAACTCAGTACTATTGCGAGGAGAGAAACAAGTATTAACACGCCTGAACATGAACATGAAATAACCAACTAAAGGGAGGACGCAGGCTCTCTCTCCTTCCATCCCTCACCCCTACTCAAGACTTCACAGGTGTTTGGGCCATAATTATGGTAGTCTGATCCACTGATTGGCAGACCTAGAACAATTCTTTCTTGAGACATTTAAAACAAAGAGAACCAGTAGTGTGTGCTAGAGGAAGACTCCAATAAGACATGGAGCTGCCGGCCACGCTGGGCTGGGAGGTTGGGGTAGCAGAGGCGCCTGGCTGAAGAAGAGGGCACAAGGAGGGGCAGAAACCATGTGGCCAGTAGGAGCTGGTCACCTTGGTTCCTGGTACCTTCCTGCCCCAGATCCCTTGCTAACTCAGGGAGGGAGTCTGTTCCTTTGCTATCAAACAGCCCCTAAGTCAAACAGTAGATAAAGATGATATTTCTCTACCATAAGATTTAAAGAGACTGGAATCGATGTGTTAATTTTATCACTAGTCCTTAAATGTTATCAGTTATGTCTTCATCATAAGTTATGTCCCTCCCCGCCCCCCCCAGGCTTGGGTAATGCATATCTTTCTCCATTTGATGCCTTTAACTGAAGACACTATTTTTTTGGGAGTTTGTCCAAATAGGCTATAGGGTTTTTATGCCGACATGGGCTCAAAACCTTCGAAAGTCAGCTTGATGTAGAGGGGAGAACGTAGATTCTGGGGTCAGGCTGCCTGGATTCAAATCGCAGCTCTGCCACATACATGCTAGTTGCATGACCTTGAACAACTTGTTGAACCTGACTCAGTTTCCTTATCTGTAAAATGGGAATAACAATAATAACCTCACGGGCTCTTGTGAGACATAGGGAATTACTTTGAAACATGCTCTCTTCTCTCTTGTACAGAAAGAAGAATAAGAGTGTTTCTGCTGTAATTAGTTTCTCATATGTGCTGGCTTCAGGACTGTTAGAAAAACTTCCCTTTGAGGTGTTCGTTTTCTTAGGGAGCACAAGACGTTTTCCTTCTCTGTGTATTCATTTCTCCCAGTTTCAGTGAACTTGAGGGAGAGACTATTACGGAGAACATAAGGCACACATCTTTTCTTCTGTTCTTAGCATCTCCAATTAAACAAAGAAAAACAGTACAATCACACAAGTCTCTTCCCATCCTACGGCCCTAGTCAGACCCTCAGTTTTTCTCTAGTTTGAAGAAAATAATTTTAGCCTCTCAGATCCAATCAATATCTTGGCTGGGTCTATTGTGAGCTGATAATTTAAATACAATTGTCTCCTTAGCAACCATCCTTTTACTGTCTGCCTTCTTGACTTTGAAAGAGCTTACAGTTACAAAATTCACAGTTTCAGCCAGAAACTTTCTTTCTTTCTACAGGAACCAGATTCTCTCCCAAAACAAACTCTTTAAAAAAAAAAATGGGACAAGATTTCTAAAGTAAAAATTAAAAAAAACATTTTTCTAATTATAAAGGTAATTGGACAGGATTTTACAGAGATGGAAGAGGTTTTATGGCCTCCGTTCTTTAGCTACAGGATGGTCTATATGAGGCAGGGAGAACTCAATTAGAGTCGCAAGATGTTGGAGCTGAAAGAAGGTGTAGAGATAATTTAGTCTAATCTTCACTTTTCCCTCCTCTGTTTTACTGTTGGAGAAACAGAAGGCCTGAGATTTAATAGCGTCACCCGAGCTCAAAGAGTTCTTGCCACCAGAATGTGATCTTTCTTAGGGGCGGTTGTCAGGTACGCACATAAAAAGCACAGGACCTTGAGATCAGGGGAACCCACATTTGAATTACTGGGTACGGTGACCTGTTGTCCCAGTTTGCATGGCACTGACAAAGTTTCCCCTGACTTGGGACTTTCGGTGCCCAAACTGGGAAAGTGCTGGGCAGACCCGCACAGGCAGGTCACCCTACTGCTAAGCCAATCTCTAGGTGATTTGGGAAAATTTTAGCCCTATTTCCTCAACTGTGGTCATAATAATAGTTCATCTCTTGGGGTGTCATGAGGATAAAATAAAATAACAACAGTGAGTATCAACTTTCCTTCCTTCCTCTCCGGATTTCTTCTGTCCAGTAAGAAGCTTTAGACTTTGTTCAGCTGGAAAAAGCAGTGTTCAGCTTAAAAGTGATAATGAAGATTCCTTCCCAGGTTGGCCCAGATCGGGGAAGGGGACAGAGTAAACGAGATCTTCATTTCAGAAGGTCCGACCCTCAGAGACAAGTCCTTGGAGACTCCCACAAATGCCACCCACAACATGAAAAATCAAAATTAGCTTCTCGGCTGCTCTTGGCAGCTGCGATTAATCATTTCGTAACAGGACAGTCAAAGCACAACTATTTATTTGCATTGGATCAGGAAGATTATGGAATAGAACATTTTCATAAATTTGTTAGGGTTCTAGATATACGTTAGTGTGATGAATAGTTTAGGCTGCGATAGATGTTTTCGTTTCAATAAAGTTATTTTGGGATATATTTACATGATGAAATAACCCATTATTTATCCAACTGCATTTTTATGAACTAATTTTTCTTTTTGTGCCGACTTGCAATGGTGATTCATTACTTTCTGCCCTTCAATTTTTCTTTCCTTGTAAATGGTTTCTTGTTTATTTTTTGAAAGTGTATGTCTCCCTTCAGAGCCATCGACCAGTTTCACGTGGGGTCGTCACTCTACAGCAAACTGCTTCCAAGAACCTTGGGAATTGAAATAAAAATGAGTCATTTTATTCTATTATTTCTGGACTCCACCACTCACTGGGTCTGCAATTGTGGGTAAGTCACTTGCTGTCTCTGAAACTCATTCTCCTGATGCAGGAAGACTGTGGCGCACATTATGTGTTCAATTAATACTTGTTGAAGGAATAAATGAATGACCGAATGAGGTAAGAATAAAGACATTTGTGTGGCTGTAGGAAAGGTTTTAGGTTGGAGGGTCATATGAGGGAATTCTTTAGAGGGAAGTTTGTCTGTTACCTCCCAGAGAGATGTAGACTAAAATACCTCTTTCTGTACAAATTCACTCATCTGCCATTGTTTCGCCAATGTTAAGAATTAGCTACGGATTCTTGAAGGCTTTGGGTGCCTGGTGCTCTACTGAGTTTAGGGAATTAAATTCCTCAGAAAAATAGGTTTTTTGGTGGGGGTATTTGTACCTACTTCCTTCGAATAAACCAAACCCACCTGGAAAAAAAGGAAGTAGAAGATTGATAATTATATGCAAAGGGTCTGATTAAGTAGTGACAAAGATTTGTTGCTTGACCAAACTTTACTCAGGCTCCCAAATCTTTTCCTAGACCCATCTGTGCACTTGCTTATATAACCTGTTGATAGTTTTAGCAAGAACTCTGCTAAGTCAGTTTAGCAAGAATGCCCTGCCTTTGATATATGATCAGGTTCCTCATCCTTCACTGTCCCCCAGGGGATGCCTGGTCACCCTGGCCTGTCTTCAGCAAGAAATCTTCCCAGGCCCATTTAGCCAGAATCTCCCGTGCCCACAATGTTTCCTTTTACTAACTATCCAGCATTA